TTTTCAATCTTCCTTGCTTTACTGCACTGTCTAGGAGCTCCAGAACACTGTTAAAGAGACACGATGACAGTAGATATCTTGGTCTTGTTCCCCACATTTGGGAGAATACATTCACCATTAACTGTGATGTTAGCTTAGGTTTTTTATAAATGCCCTTTATCAGATTGAGATGGTTCCCATCCATTCCTAGTTTTATGAGGTTTTTTTTTTTTTTTTTTGCGGTACGTGGGCCTATCACTGTTGTGGCCTCTCCTGCTGCGGAGCACAGGCTCCGGACGCGCAGGCTCAGCGGCCATGGCTCACGGGCCTAGCCGCTCCGCGGCATGTGGGATCCTCCCGGACCGGGGCACGAACCCATGTCCCCTGCATCGGCAGGCGGACTCCCAACCACTGCCCCACCAGGGAAGCCAGTTTTCTGAGTTTTTAATCATAAATGGGTGTTGAACTTTATAAAATGATTTTTTGCCTCTATTGAGATAATCATATGGTTTTTCTTTTCAATTTGATAATATGGTGAATTATATTGATTGATTTTTTAAATGGCTATTGAGATATATTTCACACATCATACAATTCACTCATTTAAAGTGTACACTTCAGTGGTTTTTAATATATTCACAAAGGTGTGCAACCATCACTACAGTCCATTTTAGAACATTTTCATACCTCAAAAAGAAACTCTGTACCTTTTAGTTATTACCACCCTATCTTCCTTGTTCCCCATATTCCCCAGCCCCAAACACTACTAATCTACTTTCTGTCTCTATAGATTTCCCTACTCTGGACTTACATATAAATGGAACTATATAATATATGGCTTCTTTCACTTAGCATAGTGTTTTCAAGATTCATCCATGTTATAGCATGTATCAGTACTTTATTCCTTTTTATGGCCAAATAAAAAGTTTCATTGTATGAATATATTACATTTCATTTATCCATTCATCCATCGATGAACATGTGAAATGTTTCCACCTTTTGGCTATTATGAACAATGCTGCTATGAACATTCATGTACAAGTTTTTGTGTGGTGGACATATGTTTTCCATTTTCTTGAGTGTATACCTAGGAGTGAAATTGGGTTATATGATACTCTATGTTTAATTGTTTGAGAATTATCAGGCTGTTTTCCAAAGTGACTGAATCATTTTACATTTCCAACAGCAGTGCATGAAAACTCAGATTTCTCCATATTTTCACCCACACTTGTTCTTATCTGACTTTTAAATGTTAACCTCCTCCTTTCTTTCCAATTTTTCTCTTTCCTTCTGTCCTTCCCTTGTTTCCCTACTTCCTCTCTTCCCTTGGACAAATATGAACAATTTATAATATTATTGGGACTAAAGTATTTCCACCAAGAAACCCATTCCTCTGTGCTTTTAACACCTAAAAGCCTCTTCACTTAAAATCACCATTGACCTCTACACCCACATTTCTACTACATTTATCTCTGAATTTCTAATTCTAGTGGCCAAGCCTCCATCTGAATGCACTGCACTTCATCAATACTTCTAAGGACCTCAGAGTTTGAGAAGAACCTTAAAAGTTTCCTAGTCTAACTTATTTTGTTTAATGAAGAAAAGGGTGGAGGGAAGATTGAATGAAAAGAAGGTGGGAAAGAAGAGGAGGGAAGCAGAGCAAGGAGAAGAGAAGCAGCACCTAGCATATGCCTGGCATTTTACGTACACGATCCTATTTAAATTTCACAACGACCCCATGGGATTAATATCACCCTCCCCCTATTTCATAAATGAGGCAACTGAAGCTAAGAGAGGTTAATTATTTTGCTCAAGGTCCCTCAGCTTGTGAGAGTCAAATTTAGCTGTGTGCAACTCCAAATCCCGTGACCCAGAAAACTCTTGAATTTCAAGGAGGAGGACTACCCTCAGGGGCATATGATTACCCTATCCCTGGGTCCTGGGACAGAAATGCCCTGGATGGACCACAACTTCAGAACCGACGAGGCGTTATTAGGGGAATAACACAGTGTCTCCTCTCTGGAGGGAAGTCAGTGCTCTGATAGGAGTAGTTTTGTCCCAAAGGACAAGCAATGCCTCAGGCTAGGACAAAATGGTGAGGAAGTATGTTCTATGGCCAAGTTACAGTATTTGTCGCCTGGCAGGAACGACAAAGTGAGCTATGTGAGATGGTATGGAAAATTCCAAGATAAAACTTCAGAACATGCGTTACCTCAGTAGCAAAGGAAGCAACTCAGATTTCTGCAAGCTATTCAAAGAGCAGTAGCAATTTATAAAAATAGACAGAACCGAGTCATTACACAGCCATGTTCATTTGTTTCATTTTGCCTTTAACTTTTAGGGCTTGCTTTTGGAAACGTTAAAAAAAATTAAGTCTTGCTACATACTTAACAAAGTCACTCGTATAAACCAAACTACAATCAGAGAAGTCTGACCTCCATCTGCCCCATTCCTTCTGCCCCATTCCTTCCTTCCCCTAGAGGTAATCAGTTTTTGTTTGTTTAAATAAAACAAAAATTTTAATTTATTTTTAATTTTTTTTTCTATTTTTCTAAAACATAAAGATATATTCATATCTTCCTCCCCCCTCTGGTTAAGTGGTAGTATATAACCTTCAGCTTTGCCTCCTTGACGTTTTTTCACTGGCAATCATGCCATAGCACTCTACAGAGATACTTCTCATTTGCTTTTACAGCTGCACAGTATTCCAATATGTGAGTGGATCCTCATTTATCTGACCATTCTGATGGACTTTGGGATTGTTTCCACTTTTTTGCTATTACAAATAGTGTTCATTGCACAACCCTATGTATATATCTTTTTGTATTTTTGCTAGTGTATCTTTAGGTTAGATTCTTAGAAATGGAATTTCTGGATTGACAAGTGCACGTATATGAAATTTTGCTAGATATTGCCAAATTTCTCTCTCCATGGATTGTACCATTTTTGTATTCCCACTAGCAAAATGTGAATGCCTGTTTCCTCACTACCTTGTCAACACATTACGTTGTCAAACTTAGATTTTTGCCAATCTAATAGTTGAGAAATAGTATCTCACTATAGTTTTAATTTGCATTTCCTTTGTCATAAGTATGATTTAACATCTTTTCATATGGTTCTTTCAAGGGCTGTTAAATAGAGCCCTTTATTTTCATTTCTTTGGGCCTCTTTTCTCTTCCCCTACTTTTGTCTAGATCTTCTCTTTCTTTTTTCTCTAATATCCTTGTTCTGGACAGTTTGAATTCTACTCCCAGAATTCCCTCTCAGAGAAAGCATTTTCTATATTTCACCTAACATTTTTTGAAATTACTAATTCAGTTGTTGAATAGCTATGGGATTCTTGGCAAAACTATCCTCTGATATTTTCATCTATGCATTGTAAATGAAAAATAATCCTTTTTTTTTTTTTACGCTTAGAAATAATTTCAGTCAGTTCTCAGTCCTATCAGCAGAATCTGGCTCATTTAATCACTCCCTCCTTCTTGAAACACATTCCATCGACTTCCAAGATACTGCACTCACCTGTTTTCTTCCTAATTAACTTGCCTCTCCTCTCAGGCTCCTTCAGTGTTTCCTCCTCATCCCAAAATTTTGGCGAACCCCAGAACTCAGATTTCAGACCTCTTCTCCTCTCGTCTAAACTCACTCCCTAAGTGACTTTGTACTAGCTCATGAATTTAAATATATCAACAACTCCCAGATTTTACATCTCCAGCCTGGACCTCTACTATGTAGTCAAAATTTGTACATCTAACTGTTTCCTTATCAATTCCTGTGGATGTCCCAAAGGCATCTCCAACTTAACTTACCCCAAACAACACTGATATTCTCCCCAAACCTGTTTCTCCTACAGTTTTTCCAATCTCAGGTAATGACAGTTCTATTTTTCTAGTAGCTCAGGGAGAAATTCTTTCTCCACTCTCTAATCCACCTACCCCTGGTGGTGGATTAGAGAGTCCCGTGGCTACAACTGGCAGCTCAGCTGGAATGGCTGGACCGACTCAGATCGCTGGCCCTCTCTCCACATGGTCTTCTCTCAGACTTCTTTGGATCTGGCCTCTTCAGGAGTTCTAGAGGGCAAGCTCCAACATACAAGCATTTTTAAATCTCTTTTTGACTCACACTTTCTGTTGTATTAATGTATTATTTGAGCTCAGTGTCTTTACCACTGGGGCAAGTTCAAGGGTGAAGAACCAGCCCATACAAATGTGTGTGCATGGCCAAATGACTGTGCTAAGCCCAGCTGCCAGGAGATTTCTCAGTTTGGCAGTTACTTATTCATTCCTCATTCATAATCCACAAACTTTAGCAAAGCTGCAGTTAGTTGGCATTTTGTGGGGCCTGGTGATGTGACCACAACACTCAGCTTTTCCTCCCCAGTGATGGGATGATTCCTCCGCTATTTTGTTTGTTTTCTTTCTAAGCCAAATATCCCCAGGATTTTCTTTCAGGTTTCTTTTGCAGCTAAACCCTCAAATGTTCCCAGCTTTGGAGATTAGAATGACTCTCTATGCACCTAGTTCTCTAGTGTTTCATAACTTGTACTTGTCCAGACCTTTTCATTCTTTTGTTAGTTCTGTTTCTTAAGTTCTCTGATCCTTTCATTTATGTTCTTTTTCTTTACTTAATCCTCTCCTCTGCTTTCCATGGGTTATTTTGATGTCTTTTTTCTAACTATATGAGTTGAATGCTTAATTCATTTATTTTCTTTCTTTCTTTCTTAGTAATAAATACATACGAGCTACTAAATTTCTTTCCAAGTACAGCACTGTCTACCCATTAAATCCCCCCATCCACTCACCCAGCTCAGATTCACTGGGGAGCAAGATTTCCCTTACCACCTCACTCTGAAATAATTTCTATCTTTTAAATTGAAAGCAGTTTTGGGCCACTCGGCAACTTCTGAGGAGGACGGAACTGTGTTTATTTTCACAGAGCCTTCTCGCTGCCTTAGCATAGTGACCTTCCACAAAGAAACGATAATAATAGTGGATGACTTTAATGTAATATTGAACACTTACCCTGTAGCTGGCATTACACACATTATTTTAACAACTCCATACTAATCTTCCATGCCCATTTTACAGAGGAAATAGGTAGGAAATTTTTGTCTTGTGTTTCTATTCCTGGAACATGACAAACATTCCACGTTAGGGCCTTTTCCCCTTGACTTTGTCCCTCTCCCTCCACCTTCCCATTCAGTGCTAAGAGCAAATGCCATTTCTTCAAAGCTTTACTGACCACCCAATCTAAGACAGCCTCCCTCTACACATTGTATTTTATTTTGTTCATAGTACTATCTCAAATTACCTTGCTCATTTATCTGTTTCCTTGTTATGACCTGCTTCCACCACTAGACTTTCAAATCCAAGGAGCAGGAATTTTACTGAATAAATATTTATGGCATCAATGCAAACAGTGGAGCCTGAGGAGGAGCCAATACTTTTAGGCTCGGCTGCGTAAAAGCAACAGTTCCTTTTGAATCCGAAAGTGTGATCCTGGGAAGTAAGAGACACCCCTCAACAGACCTGTGACTTACAGCACCTCACTCATTTTCAACTGGGATTCCTCTTCTGTGAAATGAGGAGGAAGGCCCTTTTGGTTCATTGCCACCCACTGGGACTCTACCTAGACAAACGTACCTTAACGGCCTGCGTGAGAATGCAAGGGAGCAGGAAAAGTCGCTCAGCAGCAGAGGAGGAGAGGGGAAGGGAGGGGAGGGAACTGCGGTCTTGGGAGGAGGAGAGGGGGACCTCTGAAGACCCAGGGAGCCGAGGGGCACGGGTGGTGGCGAGGGGGCAGCAAGTGGGAACCGCGCGGAGGACGGCGCTGGGGTTGGGAGAGGCCCCGGGCGGGCGCTGTCGATCCCCTGGGACTGGGCAGGACGGGGCGGGGCACTGACAGGTGCGAGGTGTGGATCTGAGGGAAGTGGGGGGCATTCAGGGGTCACGGAGGAGGGCCCCCAGAGGCGGAGGAAAGCAAAGGGGATGCGGGGGGAGCTGGCGGGTGGGGAGGAGGCGCGGAGGGCCGCGGGCTGTGTGGGGCGGCCGAGTCGCTCGCAAGGGTCGCTGCTGGAGTGCCGAGGGGGCGCGGCTTGCGCGGGCCGGGCGGGGTCAGGCGCGGGGGGGGGGGGGGGGGGGGTTCCCGGGTCGCCAGGGGCGGGCGCGGCAGCCCGGCGGGGCTTGGGTGGGGCTGGCCCGGAGGCTGTCGCCTCACTTCCGGGAGCGCCTTGGCGCGGAGGCCGTAGGTTTCTTGCAGCGCTGCCAGCCGGCCGGCCCCGGCCTCTCTCGGCGGCCATGGGGGCGTCTGCGCGGCTAGTGCGCGCAGCTATCATGGGGGCGCCGGGCTCCGGCAAGGGCACCGTGTCCTCGCGCATCACCAGACACTTCGAGCTGAAGCACCTCTCCAGCGGGGACCTGCTCCGAGACAATATGCTTCGGGGCACAGGTGGGAGCCCGGGCGGGAGGGGTGCGCTGTCGTCCCGGTGGGGATTTGTGGGCGGAGGGACCGGGGCTCGGGAAGTGGGTCCCAGGAATGCGGGTCCAGGGGTGTGGGCGCAGCATCTCCCAATTGCCGCCCGGGGGGTGGGGGTGGGGAAGTCCTCGAGCTGCTGAGATACTGTTCCCCGAAACCTTTGGCCTCAGGTGGGTTATTGAGGGAACGCACTAGGAAATTAGGACACATTCGAAGCTCAAAGATTAAAGAAAACCACATGGCTTTGAGAGGTATGTCCAGCCCCAGTCGCAGCTGCTCCTAAGGGTCCGTGATCATTGTGTGGCTTATTCTCTGTCAGCCCTTGCGCTTGGAGAACTGTTAGAGCTCTCTTTCTTTTCTTTTTTGTTTTATAAATTTATTTATTTTTGGCTCTGTTGGGTCTTCGTTGCTGCGCACTGGTTTTCTCTAGTTGTGGGGAGCTGGACTACTCTTTGTTGCGGTGCTCGGGCTCCTCATTGCAGTGGCTTCTCTTGTGGAGCACCGGCTCTAGGTGAGCGAGCTTCAGTAGTTGCAGCGTGTGGGCTCAGTAGTTGTGGCGAGTGGGCTCTAGAGCGCAGGCTCAGTAGTTGTGGCGCACAGGCTTAGTTGCTCTGCGGGATGTGGGGTCTTCCCGGACCAGGGCTTGAACCCCTGCCCCCTCCATTGGTAGGTGGATTCTTAACCACTGCGCCACCAGGGAAGCCCAGCGCTTTCTTTTTTAACTTTTTGTTTGTTTGTTAAACGCTATGGAATTTTCTGGTTTTGACCTTTCCCCCATAATCTGAAGGCCAATATTATTTACCCTCCTTGCTGTCACAAAATTGGCTTAGATCTTTAGACACGAAAGCTGTTCTTGTGCATGGTTATCTGAAAGATTGTTTTGTTTCACATGCCAAAAAAATTCTTGCAACTCAGCACGAAATCGAGTCAACAAACTGTACACTTTACAATGGGTGGATTTTATGTAAATTATATCTTAAGAAAGCTGTTTTCCAAAAGTAACAGCAAGGTGAGTTTTTTTTTTTTTCTCTCTCAAAAGTGTTGACCTTTACTATCCAAAACAAAGTCATTTTGAAGCTCCTTTTAAAAATTAGGACTAACTCCTTGCACAAGGTAAAAAAGGATTGGAAACAGTATGGAAGTACATAATATTAAAAGTAAAACTCTCTCTCATTCCCTGCCTCAGTCTCATTCTTCAGAGGGGAGCAGTGTTATGTGCTTGCTTTTAGAAATCTGTATTTGTGTATAAGCACATACAGGGCATATGTATATCCCATGTTTTATGCAATATGTAATCCTACTAAATATGTGTTCTGCACCAGTGTGTTTTCACTATATCTAGGATATTTTTCCACACGAAAACACAGAAATCCGTTTCATTATTTAACATTTGTATAGGTATCTATTTGCTGGATCTGCCATGGTTTATTTAACCGATCCCCTATTGATGGGTTATATAGGTTATTTCTAGGTGGGTTTTTTTTGTTTGTTTCAGAATACTGACATTCAAATGAAAAAACTGCTTTTAGCTTGTCTTGTGGAGTTCTTTGGTTTATCACCTAATCTGGTGAATTACTACTTTTATTTTTCTCCTAACATTGATCTTTAAAAAAATCATAAAGTATTAAACTTCAGAAGGTTAAACTGTTTGGCTCACTTCGTAGTGTTCTTGATGCAACAGATTGCATTAGGTAACAATAAACAATCCCCGGTACTGCACCATCTTGGGGCAAGGTTGTTCAAAGTGGGAAGGAGTAAAGAATACTTAAGCGATTCTCTGAAAAATAACTCAGCAGTGAGGCATAATTGAGTGTTAGAGAACACCTTCAGTGAAGAGTTAAAGATATGTTAACTTGGGAAAACACAAAGCATTGAAAAAAATTAAATTTAAAGCAAATTAAGTAAACTTTTATTTTAAATTAAGAAACAACCCTCTTTATTTATCCTTAACATCCCATGATAAGCCCGCCATCCTCTTCCTGACTCCACAACATGAAAAGAGAGGCTAGAGGGAGGGAGGAGAGGATCACTGGGAAAGATGTGCAGCCTGCCTTAGACGCCTGCTCTTTCTGGAGTCTCTACAGGCAATTCTTTAACAAAGAAAACAGAAAATGGAGTTGAGGGAGGTGTCATGAGATTGTTATTACAGATGTTCTGTATCTCAGGACTAAGAATATATTCTCAAAAAATATTTGTGAATGGATTGGATATTTCCCCCAGGATCAGAGCCAAAGGAGAGGTGTAACCTTTTATTTAAAAAATACTGCTTAATGTTTTTTGATACCAAGAGTAAAGTATATTTACTATAAAGGAAGGAAAACACTTCATGGGAGTATAAAAAAGAAAATTGAAGTCCTGTATAGTTCTACCACCCAGAGACAATTATAATTAACCCTTTGGTGCTTTTTCTTTTTTTTCTTTCTCCTTTTTGTTTTTTTAAATGTATATTTATTTATGTTATTTATTATTTTTGTCTGTGTTGGGTCTTAGTTGCGGCACACCGGATCTTCGTTGAGGCATGCAGGATCTTTCGTTGCAGCACAGGCTCTTCCTTGTGGTGCACGGACTTCTGTCTAGTTGTGGCGTGCGGGTTTTCTCTTCTCTAGTTGCGGTGCGCAGGCTCTAGGGCACGCGAGCTCAGTAGTTGTGGTGTGCAGGCTTAGTTGCCCCCGTGGCATGTGGTATCTTATTTCCCTGACCGGAATTGAACCGGTATCCCCTGCATTGGAAGGCAGATTTACCATTGGACCACCAGGGAAGTCCCTCTCTTTTTTTCTCTGTTGCATTTGTATGTCTTTGCAGACTTGTAGTCTAAATGATTGCTTAGATACCTTTTTTTACACTTATGTGAGCATGTTCACACATCACTAAGCAGTCTTTTAGTTTCATCAAGATTGCACAATTGTTAATTGAAACATTTTCCTATTATTATACACTTATGTGGTTAACCATTCTTTGTTATAATTAATACTGTTATGATTATCCTTGTACATGAACATTTGGCAGCATCTCTACTTATTTGCTTCAAATAAATTCCCTAGTGATGAATTTCTATAAATACAGTACCATCAGATATGCTAAGGAAGGATGGTGCCAATTTACTTTCCAACCACCATTTCATGATGATGCTGTATTATATAACCCATGGCTGTATTTTATAGCTAAAGTTTAAAATCATCCCAGCAGATGTGATAAAGACACTGGAAATATGTGGGAACCTGTTGACTGTAGCAAACCTGGAGTAACTGTAGACCACCACTGAACCCTGCAGTCAGGAAACTTGAGTCTGCCCCTTTGTCATTAGTCCAGCCCTCTCATTTAGAGATGAGGAAACCGAGTTCAGGAGAGGTTAAAGAACTTGCTCAATAATAGAAACCAGTCGCTGGGAGACAAAAGTGGACACCCAGGTCTCCTTGTATGCCAATTAAATTACTCTCTCCATTATGCAACATTTCCAAACTTGAGGTTCATGAGATAATTTTAGGTAGACAAAAACATTTCTCAAAAATTTTTCTCAAAAATTAAATGCAAATAAAAAATCAATAAAATTTTTTATTTCAAAGTGTATTTGAAAAATGATAACTAGCACACCAACCCTTTAATTTTGTGAACATTATAGCTTATTAAATTAAAAAGCTGGACTTCCCTGATGGCCCAGTGGTTAAGAATCTGCCTGCCAATGCAGGGAACACAGGTTCGATATCCCTGGTCCGGGAAGATCCCAACATGCTGCGGAGCACCTCAGCCTGTGTGCCACAATACTCAGCTTGCACTCAAGAGCCCGTGAGCCACAACTACTGAGCCCATGTGATTCAACTACTGAAGCCCACGTGCCTAGAGCCCGCGCTCCGCAACAAGAGAAGCCACCACAATGAGAAGCCCATACACTGCAACAAAGAGGGGCCCCCACTTTTAGCAACTAGAGAAAGCCTGCACACAGCAATGAAAACCCAATGCAGCCAATAAATAAATAATTAATTAATTTTTTAAAAAAATTAAAAAGCTGAGTCACTTTAAAGAAAATTATACAGTAAATAATAGTTCAGCTATGGCAGAAATTGTAAGGTTGCCATGTGATTGCCCAAAGTTTGAGAAACGGCACTGCAGCTTAGTGCTTCTCAAAGACATAATCCTGGACTAGATGGCTACCCCTTTTGGATCTCATTTGTTCTCATTTGTAAGTTGGGGAAGTTGAACTCAGTAGGTAATCCTCAAAGCCTCTGTCAGCTCCCAAGTTTCTGTATGTCTAACAAAACTTCTATTATGTACACACAGGCAGCATAGATGTGCCTAATTAGAATGATATTGACAGAGCAAATTATTTTTGTAATGGCAAAAATTTTGATTTGTATTGAAAATAGGCAATACATTTACATGGTTTTGAGTTCCAAAAAATTTAAAAGGACATTTAGTGAAAAGATCCTTTCAGAGCTATTTCATGCACATACAACCCAGAGTTTACCTATTCTTCCCTCTGTTCTTTTTTTCTTTTTTACACAAGTGATAGTAAACTGTAAGTACAGTTTTCTACC